ACCATATTATAGTCAAAGGATCCCCAAATTAGAGACATCGAAGAGTTAACTTGATCTATTTTACATGGGCTAAAATCAAAATCATAGGAATAACCTGATTTAACATATGCAACCCAAAATACAATATCTTACGCTACATCCGCAGACTACAAGATTTTTATCAGCTCTACGGTTCAGAGATCAAGAACCTAAAGTCAGTAAATGAACAATCTCTTTTCAAAGGCTAAGCAGCGAACTAGCACAGCCAAGTTCTGTCAATACTTGAGTATTACTGCTGATAAATGTATAAGCCAGACAAAATCATGGGCAGAAATTATTTCTCATAACAAGCTGGGCTGCAAACAATAATAGATTCATAGGTAATTTCAGGAGAAACCATTCAATGACTCAAAGTCAATTCCAGCTTAGATATTGCTGGTAACAGACGTAAAAGACAAATAGCTCATAAGCACTTAGGCAGAGATCATTTGAGAAACACCAAGGTTTCAATTTGGTCCTCAACAAAAATTTCATTCATTTTAGTCCTCCAATAATTAAAATATTTGTAATGTCCAGTTTTGATCCCATTTTTATTCAAAATTAACAGCAAACACAATTTAGCACATTATCCCTCATCTATCCTATTGTGACCAAATTGAAATAAATTATCTATCAGTAACCAAGTTGAAAGTTCACCCATCCAATAACCAACATAAGTCTTATCCTCAAAATTTGACAGCAAGACTGCATAGTTATACAGTTAATCGACAGAAAGAGTAAAATTAAGCAAACGGGTCATAAATTCAGACCTTCTTCAACAGTTTTTTGGCATCATCTTCAGACATGGGAGGCTGCAAAGGCGAAACAGGAGAGCACTCTTGCTGGGCAAGGGAAAGAGCAGAGAGATTGGGGATAAGGATTTTGTGCTCAGTGTCCTTGAAACCCAACACTTTCTCTCCAAACTGGCTTTCCAATTCAGCAGGAAAGGGGTCTCTGGCGCCAAAATCGCCAAGCAAATCAGGGGCCATAGCTCGAGTTCTGAGGCGAAAAGCAGAGGGAGTACATCGAGAAGGAATTGAGGGAGAAAAGGCGGGAAGAAGACGAGGAGTGGATATGAGATGCAGAGCCACAAATGGAGAAGAAGAAGAAGAAAGGTTGGTTATGGCCATTTGATTCGTTTGTGAATGAAAAAGAAAGATTCGATGGAGGGGAAGTAGAGTCGTTGAAGTGTGCCTGTGAAGGAAGAAGGTTTTGAAATCTGGTGGCTGAGGAGTGAGGGAACAGGATGAGGATTGGTGGTGAGGATGGAATGGCAGCGTTTGGTTCGGACAAGAGTCAAGCTTGCCTGCAAGAGAATACAATAGAGTCAAAATTTTCATTTATTTAGTTGAGATGAATATTCTTTTCTAAAAAAATAAATTAGACACCGTTCTTGAATTTTTAATCATATGTAAATAATTTTTAGAATTTTTTTAAAACCCTTATTTTCAAGTTTTTATATGTCTGTCTGGTTTTTAATCTGTTCATTATTCTGCTAATAAAGTACTACTTCTCCAATCCTAAATATAAGATCATTATAGGACCGGAAGAGTATAATATGTTATTAACTATGCACAGTGTAAAAAAAACCGGACTGGACCAGCCGGTTTAACCGGTGAACCGGTACTAAACCGGTTTAAATAAATATATTGATATTTATCCCATTTTTTCTCATTTAGCTCCTATCAATTATTATAGATTTAAATGAATTTTGATGATATGTTTGGTATCAATAACTATTAGTTTTAGTTATTGAAAAATTATAAAGATCAAAATTCTTAATATTGATGTACTTTATTATTATTAGAATCAAATTCTTATTGTATTTCTTTATATTTTGTTATTAGTAATTATTAGTATTGTTATATTTTGTCATTTTAATTAAATTATATTATTTTAATATGACCGGTTTGATCCCGAGTTAACCCCGATCTGACCCATTAACCCTTGAACCAGTACCTCAACCGGTTTAGTGTCCGGTCCCGTTTTTTGTTCCTTGCTATGCATACACTTCCTTAAATTTTATTGTTATGTCACCTAGTATGATCAAATTTTAAGTTATATATAAATAACTTTTTTTAATTCTTAAGTCATATAAATAAATCATAAATCGTAATGTACTTTTGACTAAACGGAAAAATTGATATTAATAGGTCATTTGCACAAATTTAAAAATTTAAAGAATATGATGATTTCTTATTATTATCAAGTTCTAAGAGTTAAAGAAATTCTTTAATTAAGTTGTATGTGATTTAAAGTCATCAGGGTTATACATAATTTATAATTTAAAAAATATAAGCTAAATTATATATAATACTATTGTGTACATATCTATGATCATTAGTAAATAATAACTATATTTTATTAATTGATAATAACATACTACATGACATTTGACAATGAACAAAAGGAATAATTAATATGTAAGTCCTTACATTTTCAACCGGTTTTTAATCAGGTTTTTATATTTTTTTTTTCTTTTCATCAGGTCAGACCTTATACTTTCACATGTTTTTAATCAAGTTTTATCATTTTTTTTTATCAGGTCCTTATTATCTTACTTTATTTTTAATCAATTCCTTATTCTTCATTCTATAAAAAATAATATTCTATAAATAATAAATTATTATAACAATCTTATGTTAATATTCTTTAAATTTTTAGCTAAATGTATATATTATTTATTTTTCAATTCTAATTTTTATAATTATAAAATTCAAATTATAATAATAAAATTTTCTAAAATTAGAATATAATTATAAATAATTTATAGTTAAGTATAATTGATTGTTTTGATTAATTATTAATTACTAAATGATTATATAAATTATTTTGTCCAATTATGCAATTATTAATTTAAAAATGAAATCAATTTTAAAGAATAAAGTTAATAAATAATTTTTTTAAAACTACAAAGAATCTAATTAAAAAATAAATGAAACTATAAGGACCTGATAAAAAGAAAAACAAATGGAGGGGCCTAATTAAAAATACATGAAAGTAAAAAGACTTGATAAAAAAAAATTATAAGGACTTAATTAAAAATCATATAAAATTATAAGGAGCTAGCAATTAATTATCCCTTGAACAAAATCACTATGCTCATGTAGTGAATGGGCTTAATGCTAATATAAATTACGACGTTGTGACATATAGATAACTTTGATTTAATTTATTTTAGGAAAAAAAAAAAAGAGTTTTCACTTTGACTTCAAGAAGAGCCACCGTGGCAGCTTAGAAATTAATTAAAATTAAAATTAATCTTTTTCTAAGATTAACGACTTAAGATTTAAAAATTTAATTGTCTTGTTGATATCTCCTACCGTGTCTACTAATTAAGGCATGTTATGTCACCAAAAAAAATAATAATTCGGGCATATCATTTAATTGTATTGCGTACGATGTATATATACAGACATGCATGAGTTACCCACTGATTAAAATTTGCGTGCATGTTTCGAGGTTGCAACTAAAATCATGTTTATTACCTACTTTTACGAAAATTACGATTTTAATATGTTCCAAAAGGCAAAACTAAACGTTACTATAGTAAGAAGCATTTAGCGTATTATTTGATGCTGTATATTAATTATGTGAATCCAAAATGAATCATTTAAGGTCGAATTTTTCTCTAGAAGTTTTGATTAATAAGTATGGGTGTGTAATACTCCTCCGGTCCTTAATATAAGACCCATTTAACTAATTTGATTAGATTAAGGAAGTTAGATAAGTTAGTTAATTATAAGAAATGTGACACATTTTTCTTAAAACACCATAATTATCTTTTTTAATACCTCACCTTCCTCTTGTACTTGATTATGACTGGGAAAGTATCTATAGGGGTAATTTAGAGAAAATTGATGAATATGAGAAATGAGACTTATATTTAGGACTAAAACTAACTCAATAATTGAGTCCTATGTTAAGGAGCGGAGGAATAGTTTTTTTAGATTCAACATCATCCCAAAAATGTTAAAAGGGAAGCAATGTCAATCGCCTTACGCTAAACCGATGTCTATTGCATTAGACCTTATGCCATTTTACGTGAAAATAACTGTGTTTTCTTCTTTAATCATTTTTGCTTTGGAAGTTTCGGGCAAATGGTCTCTCTATTTCCTTTTCCTTCCATTTTCATCGATCCCCTTCTCATCTCAGTCATAAGATTGAGATTTTAACGGTTCAGATTTCATATTTATAAAATTATAAATAAAATGTTAAATTTTCAAAAATAAATAAATAAAATAAAATAAAACTACTAAATTTCAGTCAGTATAATTCAAAACAATAATTAAAAAATTAAAAAATTATTTTTAAAAACATGAAATCTGGATCATTAAATTTCAATTTTAATGGTTGAGATGGGAAGTTGATGGAAATAGAGAGGAAGAGAAGTGAAAAAACTCTTTGTCCGGAGGTTTTGAACTTTCAATAATACCCCGGCGGTTTTAAAAAGGGACCATTTTTGCCCAAATTTAATAACAAAATGAAGTTGTAGGTGGCAGAGGGTCTAACATGGTAAACATTTGCTTAGCTAACATTAATATTGGATAACATTACCCTTTTTTAACATTTTTGGGAGCAACATTAAATCCAAAAAAATCTCGCATACCCACAATTCCTACTCACAAACTTTTAAAACAAAATGGAACGTTAACTCTTACTTAAAACATGCATTAATTTGTTCAAGATATTCATGTTGGTATATAAGTAACCAGAAATCATTTCAAAAGCTTTAGGCAACATTTTATGAAACTCAACAAAATTGAAACGAACAACATGGTATAAAATATAATCAAGACAGTATACTTTCATAAAACCCAGATATGTACGTACATTGAACAGATTATCGAAGAGCTATACATAACTACACACACGCGCACACATATATATACACATCCAAGTCTCAAACAGTCATGCCTTTACGTTTCTTACATTGTCTAGTATAATAAACATCACACCACCATCATCATTTATCACTCATCATGGTCACAAAAGCAACTAGCAGCTCCGCCATCGCGGCGGCTGTATTTATGGTGGCCGCTCTGATCACCGCCGTCCTCTCTGACGACATGCTTCCAGTTCCCGGCGACAAGTCCCAACTTACGAAATGGTTCAACGACAACGTGAAGCCACTGTCGTCGTCACGGATTGAAATGAATAATAATAAGGGCCTAAGAATAATAAACCCTAAACTTGCAGCTGCAGAAAAACGAGTGAAGGTGGTGAAGGTGAAGAAAGATGGAAGCGGAGACTTCAAGACGGTGTCAGACGCCATTAAAGCCATCCCTGAAGGTAACAGGAGGAGAGTGATAGTGTATGTTGGAAGTGTGACTTACTTTGAGAAGATAAAGATAGAGAAGACGAAGCCTTTTGTAACTCTGTTTGGTGATCCTAAGAATTTCCCAAACTTGACCTTCGATGGAACTGCACAAAGATTTGGAACTGTGGATAGTGCTTCCTTGATTGTTGAATCCGACTATTTCGTTGTTGCCAATCTCGTTATTTCGGTTTGTATAATCCAAATCTCTTTTTTATTTTCACAAATTAAACTTAATATACAACATATATTTTGATTTCTTAGCCAAAGCTAGTTATATACGGAAAGTTATGTAGGGGAATATAAGTTGAAAATTTCATAAATTTCAAAATCTTAAAGTTTTGAGTCAACATGTGATCGAATCCACTTAGATGCATCTTCTTGTTGCTATAAGCTTGGCAATCCAGATAACTCTATGTCCTAATTAATTTATAGTACCTTTATGTATTATTATTTGGCTAAAACACATAGTAATCGTTTAATTTTACATGAGGTCATGTCATTAGCAGTGTCTTTTAGTTATTTAACTTTTAATGATATTAACAAAAACTGCTGAGTTGAAATTTTAAATGTCGAAAACATATTTTTAAATGTTGACATATTAAGTTTAATTTTTTAAAATAATAATTATTAGCACAAAAAAATATTACTTGAGACTAATGGTGTTAGATTTAGAGGATTAAAAAGATATTTTATAAAATTAATAGACCAAATTGCAATATTATATAAAGTCAAAGTACTAAATATTCCCTTCTTATTTTTGAAAGAAAGTGCAATACAATATTGTGATGGATAGTATATTGTGAATTTTTATCTAATCATTATACTCATAAATTCTTTATTAATATTGAATGCACCACATGGATTTTTGTCATGTAAGTATATAGGGAATTCATGTTATTTACTTTTTGCGGGTACATGCATGAATGATTATATAAAACTATCCTTAATATAAGAGTTTGTTTGACTTTTAATTTACTTTTAAATACAAGATCTCAATTAATTTTTTCTTTCATATTGATCTATTTTTTTTCAAAATAGTCCTTGTAGTAATTACACATGCTAAAGATGTCATGAAATGATAATTCTAGCTAATATACTATATGATTAGCAAAAGTATTTTAGAAAAAATAATACTTATTTATAACAAATAATTAACTTAACTAATTTTCTTAATCTTCACAAATTAGTCAATTAGATTTTATATTAAAGACTAGAGGTAGTAGTATATTACAAGGAAAAAAGGGTTGGGAAAAAAGGCATTCCTTTGTATAAACATTAGAAAATTAACTGAATTTAGAGGTTCAGATTTCATATTTATAAAATTATAAATAAAATGTTAAATTTTCAAAAATAAATAAATAAAATCAAATTAAACTACTAAATTTTTGTCAATATAATTCAAAACAATAATAAAAAAAATTTATAAAATTATTTTCAAAAACATGAAATCTGGATCATTAAATTTTCAATTTTAATGGTTGATACGGGAAGCTGATGAAAATAAAAAGAAAGATAAGTAGAGAGACTCTTTATCCGAAAGTTTTAAACTTTTCAAGAGTTAAGGTGCATTCAGCATCAATCTCATTACTTGTCAGATTCACACCCAACGACTGAACGACATCCCCTGCTCCCTTTCTCACATAGTAGTCTTTTTTTTTTTGGGGTCAAATTTCACACATAATAGTCTACAAAATGTACCGCTTCTAAGTTGTAGGGGAGACTTTTGACTTTTAATTGTCTCTTATAGAAAAGAAAATGTTCACCCTTTTTATTTATCATTTGTACTTTTTTAATATCTTATTTTAATTTTATCTTTATTAATTAAAAAAAGGACAAATATAAAAGGGAAGAGAGAGGAAATGAATGAGAAAAAATATACTCTCCCATGTATGAGTGTTTGGATTAGTTTTTAAAAAAAATGATTTTATGATATACAAAATAAATATATAAAAAGATTTTTATCTCAAATTGTGCAAAGACTCTCTTTTAAAGTGCTTTTAGGGTCGCCAAACTCTCCTGGTCCATATTTGATTTAGGGGGGTTTCAGATGAAAACCAAACTACAGTTTTAAGAATGATTTTAGGAAAAAAAAAAAAAACTTAAAATCAAGCATGCACTTACTGGTTTTGGGGGGAAAAGTTCCAAATTCAATAAATATTTTGTTCGGAGAATCGGTGTGGGAAAATCACAGGGGGTTTGGATTAAAAAAGTGATTTTCAGTAAGTGAAGATAAAATTTCTCTTACATATTTATTTTGTATACTACAAAATTACTTTTAAAAAGCTAATCCAAACGCCTGTTTTTATGATTTCTCCTCAGATCTAGCCAAGCGAACACTGCTCCAGCAATATTAAACACATAACAGAAGTACAGTGGAATTTTGCTTTCCTTTTCTTTTCAGGGTCTAACATTGTAGGTTATGGTTATCCTCATCCACGTTGCATTCTTTAGTACAATTACCTTTCATCACAACTGCGTTGCTAATTGTTGTGGGGGGAAAAATCTAAACCGTACCTTTAAATCCAATTTTATCAAGTAAAAATTATAATGAAGTCTGAAGGAAGAAAAGTAATTACAAAACAAGTTTCATAAATTGTCATTTTCTATTTTATAATTTTTATTACATGCTACTTAAATTGTTATTGAAACTTTTTAGTAATTATCTTTTTTCATTAGGACCTCATTGTAATTCTCTTTTTTATCAACCCAAATTTGAAGTTTTTAGTTAGTGATTTTTTTTCAAATGACCAATTGTTTTTAAGAAGTGATATTTATCTGTTTATACTTAGATTATTATTTTATATTGGGGAAACGACAAAAAAAAGACCTCCGAATTAATATTAATATTTTAAATTATAGTAGTCATCCATAGCATAATATTTCAAACCTGAACGTATCATCAAAAGCTCCAACCTTCTTATCTTCCTTTACAAATTTTAATACTAACTCCGCTCCTAATTATAAGAGTTAGTTAACTAATTTGAGGAGATTAAGGAAATAAGTTAAGTTAGTCATTTGTAATATAAGTAGATGTTGTCTTTCCTAAAATATCCTGACTAATCAAGTGTATTGGTTATAACTATCATTATTAAAAAGACTATCTTAAAAAAAATACATAAATATGAGAGATAAAGTGGATTGTGGTCTTATATTTAGGATCAAAATAAAAGTCAAACGAGGTTTTATATTAAGAACCGGAGGTAGTATTTTATTATCTCGATAAAGGAAGGATATAGAATAATAAAACTGTTCGCATTAAATTCAAACTTCTTATTTCTTAAATTCCATGAGAAGGATTTAAATGCTACTTGTTGCTCTTTGCGTCGAAACTAACTCCAGATCACCCATCTGTTACTTTATAAGAGAAATAACATCACTATATTGCTGTTTTAACGTACAGCAACAAAAAGACCAAGTCTGTTTAAAGAGAAGGGAGTTTTGAGATTTAATTTTCTATTAATGGGCATTCATAGTTTTAGTTACTATTAGGTTTAATGGCTGAAGATGTTGAAACAAAACGCGAAGAGCTCTCCAAGTCTCACATATTTAACCATAACAACTCCTATAAATTGCACTTCATTCCACTCTCATTTCAAGAAATATTCCATCTAATAAACCCCATCAAATTCAAGGGAAAAAAATCCTTACAAAACAAAAACAAAAATAAAAGATAAAAACCATGACGGTTGTGGCCACCAAAATAAGTCGTGTTTCTTCATTTCAGGTGGCCGTTGTGGCGGCGGTCATCCTCGCCGCGGCCACGACGGTGTTGTCGGACGACAACGCGCTGATCCCATCGGACAAAGGTCAATTGGACCAATGGTTCTCACAGAACGTGCAGCCATTATCATCCCGGAAGGGTACTCTGGACGCAGAACTGGTGGCCGCGGAAGCTAATCCGAAGACGGTGACGGTGTCGCAGGACGGAAAAGGCGACTTCAAGACGATAACGGACGCCATTAACAGCGTTCCGACGAATAATGCGCAGAGAGTGATAATCAAAATCGCAGGTGGAGTATATAATGAGAAGGTGACCATTGATAGGACCAAGGATTTCATCACTATGATCGGTGATCCTAAAAATATGCCCAACTTGACTTATAATGGTGACGCTAAAAGATACGGCACCGTCGATAGTGCCACCCTCATTACCAACAGCAATTACTTCGTCGCTGCAAATATCATTTTCTCGGTTAGTGCATATATGTACTTTCCTATGTGCTTTAATTTTTTGTTCTATATTGAAGCCTATAGGTGATTATATTTTTGCATGAAAGTATTTGTTGAGGAGCCGTGGGCAACGGGAAGAATATTTTTAGCTCAATATCACCGAAAGGTTTGAAAATTAATAGCAAGCAATTTCAACCTTTTGCCGTTAAATTAAAAAATATTAATAGTTAATGTTAATTTTTTAACGGTTAAGGAATCTTATTCTTTTATTAATATTTTTTTGAGTGATATTGAGCTTAAAAAATTATAGATACCCATAGCTTATTTGTGGATACTTCTTCTAGGTCAAAATAATGACCCTCAATCCCTATTACTACCTCCGGTCCTCAATATAAGATTATGTTTGACTTTTATTTTGATCCTAAATATAAGACCCTAATCCACTTTATTCCTCATATTTATTCAATTTTTTCCAAGATCATCCTTCTAATAATTATAGTTCTAGTTAATACACTTGATTAGCAAGGATATTTTAAGAAAGACAACTATTTAGGACAAATAACTAACTCAACTTACTTTTTTAATCTCTTCAAATTAGTTAACTGGCTCTTATAACTAGGACCGGAGGTAGTATATAGTATAGAAACTAATTAGGTGGTTAAATTTGGTCCTAAATATAAGAAATTAATTAATTTTATTTTTCATGTTTATCATTTTTTTTAAAACTAATTTACTCCAACTTATAAATTAACTAATATATAATCTAATAATATTTATAGGGATATTTGAGAGGAATCGTGTTATATACTACCTTCAGTCCTATTTATAAAACCTCATTTGTAGTCTACAAACAAAATCTTATAAATAGGACCAGAGGTAGTATTTGTTATAATCAACTAATATTTTTATCTTCTTAATCTATTCAAATTATTAACACTTATACTAACTATCACTGGTAGTATATAATAATATGAAATTTATATATTGCGCTTTTTTGCATGAATTTAGATCCATTATAAATAAACTTGATTAATATTAGGTTACACTTGAACGATAAGTTTCACAAATAAGTATTCAACATCATGATGCCGTTAATTTCACGATTATATTGCAGAACTCGGCACCGATGCCTGACGGGAGAAGGGAGGGAGCTCAGGCGGTGGCGCTGCGAGTTTCCGGCAACAATTCGGCATTCTACAACTGCGTGCTATTAGGGTTTCAAGACACACTCTGTGACGATAGGGGAAACCATTTGTTCAAGGACTGCACAATCCAAGGCACAGTGGACTTCATATTTGGGAGTGGCAAGTCCTTGTACTTGAACACGAAGCTCATCGTGGTGGGGACAGTCGGCGGCGTGATCGCGGCTCAGGCGAGGGAGAGCGACGACGACACCATCGGCTATTCCTTTGTTCACTGCGACATAAGTGGCACCGCCAGTGGCACCTTCTTGGGAAGAGCCTGGATGGCTTATGGCAGAGTTGTGTACGCTTATAGCACCATTAGCAACATTATTACTCCTCTTGGTTGGAACATTAACAACCATCCTGCTATGGCCCAGTACGTACTATTTTCTCTCTTCTTTGTCTCTTTCCCCTTTAAAAATATTTTCCTATGATAAGATGTCAAGTGTGAGTAAACTTGATTCGGTACGAGAAATTTTCGCTAAAAGTGGATTTAATTAACAAGACACACACACATACACGCACACACGATTAAGATTGAAAGGAGTATTTTCCTTTCGGTTTGCTCTCAAGAAAATACTTGACATGTCTCGCAATGTGACATATATATGTATATGCTTTGTGACGCATTACCTCCGATCTTTAATATAAAAACTAGTTAACTAATTTAAATTAATTAAAAAAATTAGTTAAGTTAATTATTTATAATAAATATGTGTTATTTTTCTTAAGATACCCTTACCAATCATGTGTATTATCTAAAACTATTGTTTGATGAAATTTTAAATATGTGCAATTACTATAAAGACCATCTTAAAAAAAGATAAATATGAGAGATAAAATATATTGAGGTTTTAAATTTAGGATCGAATTAAATGTCAAACTAGCTCTTATATTAAGGATCGGATATAGTATTTAATTCAATGTGTGTGTGTATATTTTAACTGGTAATAAACTACTTTTTGGGAGATCAGAGTATATTTAATTTAACTAGAATTATTTTTATCATATATTGCGTGAAATTTTGACAAGTGAAAAATAACAATAAATAAATAAATGCAGGACTGTATATTTTGGAGAGTACCAGAATAGTGGAGATGGTGCAAATACAAAAGGACGAGCCCCGTTCACAAAGATACTAAATGACGCTGATGCGAAGCAATTCATCTCTCTTGGCTTCATTGAAGCTTCTAAGTGGCTGCTTCCTCCTCCTCAAGCCTAAAATTTTATTTTCAGATCTTATTTTTTATTTTTAGTTTTATTTTTTTATATCATTAATTCTCGAAAAGAAAAGGTCAACCACTGATAATCGACGGTAACATATTCAATATTGTCCATTTCGAGGTCCTAATATATGTGAGTGTGTATAAATGTAATTTGATTACATTAATCGGAAAAAAATGATTTCGTTTCTATTCCTCTGGGGTGAGTGTGTGTGTGTGTGCCTTGCTCGGTTGAAAACAATTAAATATGCTTAAAAGTATTGAATTTTCAGTTTATTATAAAAATATAACTATGTATCTATAATATATATGCAATTCAATTTTTAATTAATAATCACAAAATTCAAACGTTGAAAAATAACAGTAACATATTAGCTATCAAGTTTGACAGAACACTTTTGCATTTTATAGTAATATATTACTACTTTCAGTCCTAAGGGTGTGTTTGGATGAAACCAAATCGCGGTTTGGAAAAGTGATTCTGGAGAATAGATTCTGGGAAGAATAGATTCTGGAAAGAATAGATGTTATGAAAAAGTGATTTTGAGAAGTGAGAGTGTTTGAATAGTTGTTATCAGCAGCACTTTTTATATATACAAATTACTAAAAAAAAAGTAAATATGATAATTACAGAAAAAAATAGATTTTATGATATATTTTAATTTAGAGGAATAAAATTGTTAATAATATATTTTTTATTAACATAATTAATGATACATAAGATAATATAATTAATAATAATTAATATGTATATATATTTTTAAAATATAAGATTAAATATGTTTATAAAAAAATATGTTTATAAAAAAAATAACAAGATACATATCCTATAGGCTCTCACACTCTCCCTTTTTTCTCCAAAAGCAAAAAAATTTTGTTTTTTCCAAAACCACGGTTTGCCCAAAACCAGTGGGTGTTTGGGTGACTTATCACCCAAACCATGGTTTGGGGTGTCACCCAAACGGGGCCTAAGTATAAGATTCATTTTATAATTACACCACAAGAAGGATTTTTAAACCTTTTTAGTCAGTGCTCTCAAATTAAATTTTACTTATTCCCCTTCTCTCAAATATCCAATTTATCATCTCAATCCTCCTTATATACTCTTGTACTCCTTCAATGGAAAAAACAATAATAGATTTGGTAAATATATGAATAAGTCTTACATATATGATCAATATTAACTTTCAAATCAGGTCATCCATTACGAATTGAAAGGGTATGTTTTAGTGTTTTATATTTAGAATCAAGATGAACTTCTCAATTAAATTCTACGTTAAAAATTAGAAGAGATTCTTAGTAGAATAATTTGGGCATGCATGCCACCATACCATGTGTATTTTGTGCTTGTACAAATTCACTGAATTGCAATGCTTTATACCGTTTATGTTGATCCAAATGTTTACATTAAATTAAAATTTTTTTTTTTGGGTTTTAGAGATAAATTGGAAGAGTTTAATTGCATTTTAATTTTTCGTATATTAATATCATACTCATTTGCATAATTATTGGTCTAATAATAAATGTGTGCTAAGAAAATGAACAAAGACTTAATTAGCATTTGTAATACTTTTTTAATATCCATCTAGTACCCTTATGATCTTTCAAGGAGTTAATCTGTTGATTATATATGTAGAAGCACACGTGTTTTATCATTAACCTATAAAATCACATGATGAATAAAATTTGATATATGATCATGTGTAATTAGAGAACTTGACCTAAGTATTTTCCAATATTTTATGTCTCATTATCCAAAATGTAATTCCTTGAAAATTAATGTTTGGATGAAAATTAATTAATTAAAATTATTCCAATTTATAAATATAAATATTAAAAATTTATGCATTTGTATTTATATAATATCAAGTTATATGATTTTTCTAAAAGAATAATTCAGTTCACCTAAAAACATGTTCCTTTAGAAAATAATGTTGAGATGAAAAGTAACATTCTTTATAATTAAGTACTATTTTTATATAGCATTAATTAATAAATCAATTTAAATTTTATATTTTGAATAAAATTAAAATATTTAAGCTATAAAATGTCTTCATATTAATTATAAAACCAACTCATTATTAAAATATTTACAAGAAATGGAAAAAAGGTATCGCATTGTTTCGCTACTTTCCTGGTTTCGGCCCAACAACCCATCTCGAAGTGACTATAGTGGGCCAACTTCACTGGCCTACCGAGGCCCAAAACACACCGAACTTCGTGGTATACTCGAACCCGACCTAACCCGATTCAGTCCAAATGGGTTCCCGAATATTCTTAGACGGGTACGGCACAGGGCTGGATTCGCCAGAAAAGTAGAAAACAGATTCCGACTAACATTGTAACGGTCCCAGGAGATCAAGGAAGAATCAGTATACGTCGTCTTCTGTTGCATCTCATCTCGTACTAACTGTCATGGCGATGAACAATGGATTCAGATCTGCAGTGAGGCTCCTCAATTCTTCCGACGCGGTGGTTTCAAAGTCAGGTCAGTCACGCGTGTATAATCCTTCCTCTATTTGGTTGATGATAACCTATTCAAAGAGGTTATGGATCGATCGTCGAACTTTGAGCCTATTTTTTATCTGCATTTTATGTTTCCTTAGTTTTGCTGTATGAAATTTTGGTTCTTTTGTTTACCGATACTCCTGTAGGAGTGAAATGAAGGTTTTTTTTTTTCCCCCTCCTTATTATTGTGAATTTACGTGGTTTTGATCTGAGAAGAGGGTCAATATGAGCGAGTAATTGATTAGCTTCTCACATTATTGATTGAGTTGTTTGGTTTTTAAGGGTGATGGGTTGTGGGCAAATCGCCTATTGCGATCCCGGTTTGACAGTTTTTTAAATGAAATTTTAATGAACGAAGACGTGGGGTATTGGAGGCTTGTATTTTAATGAACAAAGACGCTTTGCAAAATATGTTATTCTGCTATTCTACTTCAGAACTGTGCTCAAGACCTACTCCTTCAGGAATTTAGGTCCGAACCCTCGGTTACCATGCTCAATGGTTCAACCGAAAATGTCATGATATCAAGACCAAAAATAAGGCACTTTCTGCACAACATTTAATGCTGGCCAACGATCATGTCATTTTGGCTTGATGACCTAAGGACTGATATGTGATATGTAGTCTTGACAGATGATTCTTTAGAACTTAGGGTAGTGGAAGAATTCCCAAGTGAGATGCTTCTTTTGAATTGCTTTAATCTCTGGAGTTCATATGGTCAAGTTTGTGGAGGATTTTAAATCCCGAAAAATAATGTATGAGGAGGATAAAACCTTCGTCTTAATGGACGGAAGCATGTGCAACTTTCTAACAATATATCTGGTGATGGTTGTGAATCCAGTAACAAGAGTGAATGAAGTACAATACAGGATACTAAACTAATTCTGGTAGAAGTTTAAAATTAGGGCCATGGAGGCACACAAGAATCATATCGTGCAATGTAGATGAGACTGCTTGGAATATAAACAAATGGCAAGATAAATTGCGAAAGCAAAATTGCTTAAGGTTAGATTGCTGGTTTTAAAAGCAGTAGAGCCATTGTACGAAGGAAGTGGCTCAACTAGGAATCGAGAATTAGCTTTAAGAGGAATTGCTTTGGCAACATATAACGGGGTGTGGATCTTCATTTCCTAGGGCAATTGGGTTATCATCTGAATTTGGAAAAATTGTTTCTGGGAGTTGGAATTCATATTGACTTACCATACTATGTTTAACTTGGTATCATAATTGAATTGTGCGTTCTCCTAGGATTGGCAAGGTTGAAAGCCTCTTGTTTGTTGATTCTTTTGCTACCTTCTCATTTTTCATGTTTACTAGGTTGCAATTTGACATTTTATCATCAGTTCTTCTATGATAAAACTGGCACCTGATATCATTACATATAGGTTGGACTTTAAAGTTCCATGCAAGCCAATGTCTTCTTCAGTATTTTAACTGGAAGAACGCTGTCCCCTCCAAAAGAAAACAAAATGAAAAAAAACCCCGCATACCACTATTTGAAAGATCATGAACATGCTAACGAAGCATATCATGCATAGCAATGGTTTAAATGTAATGTATTGTCATTGTTCTCCTTCCCTTGTAAAACTTACGTAGGTTTGGTGCCTGTATGGGTTTTTTTTCTTTTTTTTCTTTTTTGAGAAAAATAATGTTGTTCATTCTGGCAAGCGTGAATAAAAAGATAAAGGCATGTTAGTTGTTGACAGTGAGCAGAGGTTTCCGTTCCACTGGGGTTAAGAGAATGGGAGGTGGACACGGGCATGGCCATGACGAGCCAGAATATATGCATGCAAAACACATGTACAACTTGGATAAAATGAAGAATCGCCCCTTGAAGATGTCCCTTGCTGTGTTCAGTGCCTTCAGCATTGGTGTTGTTGTTCCAGTCTACGCAGTCGTTTTCCAGCAAAAGAAGACAGCTTCTGGCTAGCCGTCTGCACATGATTTGTTTGCTTGCAGTTGGGAATCCCAGACTAGCTGAATGATGATTTTTGTGCTGTTTTGGATTTTGTTTCTGAGCAAAACTAGAAATGGGTTTTCTCTGTTTCTTGATAATAATTGGTTCAGTTATTGTTCCCTAACGCTCAACGCTTGTACATTTTCATATCTTCAAAGGAATAATATACTTTGATTGGTTGATTTGGTTTGGTAGTTTGATTGGCTTAGTTTGGAGCAAGTTTTCAATTTTGTCTTTCTTCTTATAGACGGCAAATGGAGGGACAGTTCAGTAAACTACTATACTTAATGTTTTCCTATTAGGACTGAATATAGTCCTCATCTCCCGCTGAAGATCGAAGTTTTACAATCACCACTTCATGGTAGTCGCCAAAACTAAGCTAATTACAAGCATGTTCATGAAGTTTCTAACAAAATAAGCCCGATTTGTTCCTATGCTATTCCCCGAATTCCAATGAAAATGAGCTACTGTTCTTTTCGGTAATATCTTTACAAACAGGTGAAGCCATTGACATTCTTTATCCTTAAAGTTACATGTATTTAGTACATGTCCAACATTATTCCATAATTTATTTTCTTATTTTAATTTTTTACATTATTATCAATTATACAATAAAAATACCTCTTCAATGTAATCATTTTATCTTAATCAAGAGCTGAGTTTTTTTTTTTTTAATCCCTACTATTGTTATTTTTGCACGTTTATATACTAGAATAAATGCTTGGCCTTATTTAGTTTGTGATAATTTAAAATTGCAATATTAGCGCAAGGCACAAGACTCGTACTAATTTCACGATTCTAGAGTTGACCCGGTTCTTGTAACCCCAAAAAAACAAAAAGAGTTGACCCGGTTCTGTTCAGTCCGGTTTCCTAACAAAAAGGGGCCTAAAGGACTCGATTGGTCTAGAAACCGGGCTCGACTGCGAGAGAAGCAAGAGGAAGAGGCAGCCGCGCAGAGGAGCATCTTAGCCGTCGTCTTCTGTGGCATCTCATCCCGCACCTTGCTATGGCGTTGAACAGTGGACTCAGGTCTGCGGCGAGGGTCCTCAAATCTTCGGACTCGTTGCTTTCGAATTCAGGTCAGTTGCCGCCGCTTTAACCCTCGCACCGTCGTCACGCGTTGTCGACCCCCTCGCTTTTTGGTTGCTGGGGAGCTGTTTCAAAATGCTATGGATCAATCGTTTTTGAATCTCCTAATCCTTAATCATGTATGAAATTGAGTGCTTTTGCTTGCCGATGCGCATTTAGGAGTGAAATGGAGATTTTTGTGTGTTTGTGCTGTTTTGATCAGAAATTGGGTGAGGGAATAACTAACAAGGAACCTTTTGGCACGATTGATGTGACCTTTGTTGTTTTGCTTCTTAAGGTCATAAGGTGTTCTCTTTTTTCTGACCACCGTTTCTGCAGGTGTAGGTAGTGTGGAAATTGCGAAAATGCAATAAAAGAGAAGTTTGTCATGTATTTACTATCATAATATTTTAACAAAATAGAATATGATTTTTTGTGTAGGGACTTTGTAAATAGGTGAAAATTCCTCAGCGTTGTTGTATAGTTGTCTTATTTCACTTGAATTAATCATATTCTTGTCATGTTTTAATCTGAAAACCTCAAAGCAATAATATAACAAATTGTATGTACATTGAATTCAACTATCTTTTGGCCTGTTTCACGTGAATTCAGTGAAAATTGACGTAAGGTTAATTCAGTTGCTGTGCTTGACGTTAAGTTAAATGATATCAAAACTTTAATAAGGGGCTGTCTGCCACTCTAGACAGTTAAAGTGTGCCCACGCATCATTCCATTTTGGTTCGATGATCTTTATATAGATATTAAAGTAACAAATTTTGTTGAACATGATGAGCTTTTGTCATCTGTACTCTGAGAAAACCCGTTCAAGAATTATTGTGACCTATCTTGGTTCATTGTGTGTCGTGGAGTCTAGACTTGAATACACTAGGAATTGAAGCAAAAAGTTGAGATCAAGTGCGGAAGGAAGACACTGTGATGTTTGAATATTTGACCTGGAAGGAAGAAGAGTCGTTAATATGAATGCACTCATTTAGTGATAAAAAATTAGATCAAGGTAAATTGCAGTCGTAAACCTTGAAGGCAGAAGATCCATTAGACGAAGGAAGTAACTATTGTAGAATAAACAATTAGCTAACCATAAATTGTAGTGGCAACATATAGTGAGGTTGGGACTTGGGATATTCACGTCCAATGGCAATGGGGCTATCAACTGAACTGGAAAAGAAACGTGGTTTTGAGTTGGAAATGATAATGGGCCTCTCAGGATAAAGTTAGCCTAATGAATTTGGCGATATTTTCAATCTACGAGTATATTTTTCTGCTTGATTCAATGCTTGAGATGATAAGAGTAAATTCTAACTACTACTTTGGTTAGTACTGTTGAAAGTTTCCTGTTTTCTTGTTCATTTGCTACTTTCATCTGCACTATGTTTACAAGCTGCAATTTGGGCATTGTATTCTTCCATGATAGAACTCGCGTCAGATCTTCTTCCTTTATAAATAGAACTTGTGGACCTTTTATCCCTTGTATGGAGATGGAGTCATTTTATTATTTGTGCTGGCGAGCCCAAATAAACAAACATCTTGTTGTAACAGTGCACAGAGGTTTTCACTCAACCGGGGTTAAGAGGATGGGGGGCGGACATGGCCATGGCCATGATGAGCCCGAATATTTGCATGCAAAACACATGTACAACTTGGATAAGATGAAGTATCGTCCATTGAAGATGTCCCTTGCTGTGTTCAGTGCCTTCAGCATTGGTGTTGCTGTTCCTGTCTATGCAGTCATCTTCCAGCAAAAGAAGACAGCTTCTGGCTAACTCTCTCATCACATGCTCTGTTTACTTGCAGTTGGGGAACCCAGACTAGCTATGTAATAGTCTAGTTTATGTGTTGCTTTAAATCCTTGTGGTGATAATTTTTTTCCATAATTCAATCTAGTTCTCAGTTGGGGCTTAGTTGAGATGTTGGCGACCATGAACTGCCGTGCTTTTGGTTTTTAATCTCATGAACTATTTATATGGCACTTGAGTTCCATTAATGTGTGAAATAACTACGACGCAGTTGAAGATAATGATGGAATTATGATTAAGAAATTTTTGGAGTTCATGTGTAGTTAACTGTGAAACAGTTTGCTGAATTTCATGTGAACTAGTTTGGTACTCATTCCATCCTCAGAAATAAGTATATATAGCTAATTCATTCTCATTAAGAAAAGTTAATTTTAAAATCATTGCATTTCCAACCAAGTTGGAAGCCATTTTCATCCGAGTATGTTGTTTTTCGCTGTTTGATCAGCCGAGGACCTCAGTCATTCAATGTCATTTTCATAATTAAAGGTTTTGACTGTTATTATTTGTGTCAACTGCAACCGGCCACCTGTATCGCTTCAATGATTGCCTCAGGGGCTGCAATTCCAAACCTGTAACCTCGGCTCTATTAATAAGTCGTTGAATGAAAAGGAATTATCATTAAGGCAAGTATTATAGTATACTTTAACGATTTTAATTATAAAATGGGCTAAGGTGGGCATTTACCTTAAAAGATTTCAGGGGCGTCGGTGTCTGAAATTATTTTGGACTTAATGTCGCCTTGAAAGATTCTAAATAGTAAGTTTATTATAGCTATTATTCAAGTTAAGTTTAACTATCAGTTGATCAAATATACATGTCATTCATATCATTTTTGTTAAAGATGCAAATTTGTCTAGACGTATTGAAAATTTTCAAATCATAGTAATGTTGTCTAGACCATAATCCAGGTTAAATTTGATTATTACATTATTAAATATGCTGAGCTTATAGGTTTACATATTATTGAAGTTATTTTGTTTTGGATTAATATGCAAATTTATCTCAGAAGTTTAAACTAAAAAACATAGGATGATAGAATTAAGATGTATCCTGAAACATTTTTTCAATATCACATAGTATACTAAACTAATTTAGTGTTTATCCAACATCATAAAATATTTTTTTCAGTAGTATCCTAAAGTATTTACCCTTTAAGTAATTTTCTCTACAGCAATGAGCACCCTAAATATATGATATTGAGTATTACTAAAAAAATATTTTAGAGGGTTGGACGTAAAAGATTATTGAATAAATACTTGCTGAGTTGAGTGCTGCTCAAAAAACATGATACTACCTCCGGTCCTAGATATAAGAACCAGTCGAAAGTTTGAATTTAGTCTTAAATATAAGACATTAATTCATTTTGTCTTTTAAACTTATAATATTTTCTTTAAAATATCCCTATTGATAGTAAGAGGTTTCCAACAAGGAGATAATTCCAATGTACATGACTAAGTAGGGTAATTTAGGAAAGTCAATGTACATTTGTTACAAATAACTAATTTAACCAATTTTCTTAATCTTTTAAATTAGTTATCTAAATCTTATACTAAAGATCAACATAGTACTTGGTAAACCACAAATTTATTTAAGATATTGAGTGCTAACATTGGCATTAGATACAACTTAACACTACGTAGTGAGATGCCATCCTTAAAAAAAAAAAAAAAAAAAGATATTTAACGTTTTAGACTAGGGAAGTGGCATCCAGTATGAACTATTTTTTTTAAGTACATCCAATATCCTAAACTATTTAGTGGTGCATTCAACATATTGAAATATTTTTACAAGTGCATTCAACACCATAAAATACATTTTTATACAATTTTATACTTTACAATTTATGATATTGAATGAATCAAAAAATAATTTGGAGTGTTGAGCGCATTTGAAAATAATATTTTAAAGTGTTGGATGTATCAAAAATATAATTTAGGGTACTAGACACACTTAGGAAATGCTTCTTACCAAATACACTATAAAATATTTAGGGTGGCGATTGCATTTGGAAAAAAATACTCCCCCCAGTCCAAAATATAAGATAAACTTTGTCTTAGTTTTTTTTTTTTAAATAACATTCACTTTACCTAAGCATTTAATGAGTTTTTTTTCCAATTTTGCTCCCTATATATTTTTTTTCTCTTTGATTCATTTATTGTATTTTTTACTCATTCTCTTTATTAATAAGGGTATATTTAGGGAAAAATATATTCATTACATGTTTATTGTTTTAAATTAATTTTAACTGATTTTTTTAATAAACATAAATAGATAGAATTTAAGAAAAGTCGTTAAAAAAGACCTTGGAATATATAAAATTGTAATTTGGGTTCTTCACATAATTACTATTAGAGACCGAGTCTTAAATATGAATTATGAAATGTGGGGAAAAGAGCAAAGTATCCCCTTCTTCTCTTTCTTCTATCCCATCCTCTCCTTCTCTTTCCTTCTGCAACTCTAAATTTTTTTTTTTTTGCTCTTTTTGGAAATTTTCTTTCTTAATTCTGGTTAACTATCGAGCAAGAATATGTATTTTTATCATGTTTCTATTTTTTTTTTTTTTATATTCCAAATTTTATCAGGTAACTAATCACTTCACCCCACCTACTACTCGCACATCACTCACTTTTCTAGCCCTTTTGTTGATTCCGTGAAGCTTGAATCAGTTGTTAAGAGTTCCACTGCCAAGTAAGAACCCTTGCCTCTACCGTTCTCTACAGTTGGGTGCCTACCTAATTATTTTGGGTGCAGGTGTAGGTAATAAGAAGAACAAAAAAACCAGACGATTAGTAAATCAGTTGAGACACTGGGTCAAGGATTAATGGGTTAGATCGGGATCAGACGGGGTCAGACTGGTAATAATTAAAATAATTTAATTTAATTTAAAGGTGTAAAGATATTCCTGTTTTAACAAAAAAGTAATATTTAATTTATTTATTTAGTTTTTCCTTCTAATTCTCTCCCTCTTCATACATTAAAATTTTTTTTAGTTTTTATTTTTTCACTTTTATTTACATCCTCTCTCCTCATTCACGTGGCTTGGTTTACTTTTCAAGTTCCAGTTTTTTTTCTTCTTTTTTATCCACTCTTTCTCTCCTACCACACAGATCCATCAAATCACACTATCTGCCTTTTGTTTTACTCCTCTGCACCTACACGCCGATCTCATCTCCTCTCCCACTAAGCCCCCCTCTCTTCTCTCTTTGTCCTTACCTTCAATCACAGTCTCTCTCTCCCCTTTCTCTTTCTCCTTATCTTCCATGAGCAACATGAGCTGAGTCTGTGAGTCGAATATTGAGATGAAGATAGATAGTACCAACAACCATGGAGTGCAAATGACGGTGACGGAGCAAGAAGTGGAGAGTGAGATGTCACAACCACGGCTTAGCAACGACGGATACAAATGAGTTCTAGCATTCTAGACAAACTGGCAGAGACATTCAGAGTTTCTTTTCCTTTTTTTAGTTTTTTCTCCAAATATTCACTTGTGTTTAATTTTTTTAAAATTTTTTTTAAACATAAAACGAGGTCGATTCTTGAGGGTGGAAGATTGAAATCATTAAACCGAGCAACCTATCTTAACGGGTTGGTTACCCGGTTCTTACTGGTTGAACTGGTTTTTCACCGGTTTGAACAGTATCTAGTTTTTTCCCTCAACCAGATTGGATTAGAAACCGGTTCACCTGTTTTTTGGTTGAACCAGCTGATCTGGTCCAGTTTTTTCTTCATTGGGTAATAGTAGGGGGTCAAGCCTATCATAAATCATGTTTCAAGTGTTCACATGGTGGCTGTCCCATATCACTATCAAATTATGTAACTCTTGAGGGCATTTGTTTCAAGTGTTCATGGTGGCTATCCCTGTTATGTTTACTTATGTGACAAAGTGGGAAAACTGATAAGGAGGAGGATGAAGAGTGTTATTATGATAATTATGGTAAGAAGTTTTGTTTTACAGATGATGGTGAAGAGTATTATCATGAAGAATATTTTGTCTCTATTATCAAAATAGTTGTTGTCATGGCCATGCTATTTTTTTTAAAATATTATTGGCCATAAGAATGATGTTATTTCCAATGTACATGTTGTTATTAGTATACTAGTGATGAAGAATATTTTGCTTGCATTGTAAAAAGTAGTTACTTCACCAATCTTAAATTGTTATTTCCAATTATAAACTTTGTCAATTCATCATACTTAGCTTGTTATTCTTAACAACTTATCAAAATTATTATTTTAAATTTTAAGTTTGTTATTTCTTATATAAAACTTGTTAATTCGTCGTATTCAACTTGTTATTCTCAATAACTTACCAAACTTATTATCTTAAATTTTAAATTTGTTATTTCCTATACAAAAATTGTTAAGTCATCATATTCAACTTGTTATTCTTAATAACTTACCAAACTTATTATTTTCAATTATAAACTTATTATTTCCTATATAAAACTTGTCAATTTGTAATACTTAACTTGTTATTCCCAACAACTTACCAAACTTGTTATTTCTAATTATAAACTTGTTATTTTCTATACAAAATTTATCAATTCGTTATACTCAACTTATTATTCCCAACAGCTTACCAAACTTTTATTTCTAATTATAAATATGTTATTTTCTATATAAAACTTGTCAATTCATCATATTTAACTTGTTATTCCTGACAATTTATCAAGCTTGTTATTTCCTATACAAAACTTGTCAATTCCTCATAGTCAACTGGTTATTTCTAACATCTTACCAAACTTGTTATTTCTTATATAAAACTTATTAATTCGTCATACTCAATTTGTTATTCCCGATAATTTATCAAACTTATTATTTTCAATTATAAACTTGTTATTTCCTATATAAAACTTGTCAATTCCTAATGCTTAACTTTTTATTCCCAGCTACTTAACAGACTTGCTATTTCTAATTATAAACGTTGCCAATGATAAGTTTAGTATAAGAAATAACAAGTGTTGAAAAGCTAATCACATTAATTGAAGCTTGATAAAATTTAAACCATCGAATTATATTTAAACCAAGTCAAAAATCAAGATGAAAAATGCACAACTTATGCTTTCGAGCTCATTATGTTATCCTTTTTGTGTTGCCCTTGAGCTTGGTTTCAATAGTTTATATATTTTTTTTAAAAACAAAAAAATAGTAGGGATATAAAAGTTCAATTTGTCCAGACTTCAAAAACTTGCCAGCCAAATAAAGCTTATCTTTAAACTCACTTATTGCCAATCATTTATAAATAAAGAGAACATAAACTTAAAGAACAAATCAAAGAATATTAAAGGGGAATCCTCTGTGTTCAACTTTGTTTTCTGCCTACAAACCAATCAATGAATCAAGGGAAAGAACAGAACAAAAATGATCATATTTGATCTCTCTTTTTTGGGTATGGATTCAAGCAAGAGTGAATAGAAGATAAAAATTGAGAGCATTTGCTGCGAATGATAAGGGCGATTCCTTTAGCAGCACCTGTTGCTGCCACCACAACTATCATTAGCTTCAACCAAGTTTTGTTGAGCTTGATTCTTGTTTTCCTTGTATCCTTTTTTTGGTCCCGTTCTTCACTTGTTTTGGGAGAAGGAACAAAGAAGACATAGTCAAAACAAAGAAAATGATAGAGGAAGAGGAGAGAATGAGAGAAGTGGGGGGAGATGGGGTGGGGATGAGGATGAGGAACCACGGTTAGAGGAGAAGGGAAAGGAAGAGGAAGAAAGGGACAAGAAGGAAAGAGAAAGACAGAGGGGGAGGAATAAGAAGAAAAGGAAAGGAAAGGATGAGATAGAAAAAAGATAAGCAGAAGGGCATTTTTTACTTTTCACCAATATTTCATAATTTAGGCAGCACTTTTGTTAATTCAAGTATCTATTTCACAATGTTTTATATTCAATGGCCTTTGTTTGCAATTTTTCCTAGAATTTGTTTTTTATTTTGAGTACTTTTCAATGGTAGATTCACCTTGGCGTTCTAAGATTTGGCAATACCTTGGGCCCTTTCGGCCTCCTAACTGATCATCCGCTGATCCACTAACCCAAAGCCGCAAAGTGGAGGATAAACTAGACCCATCAGATCGTCCCAACCTAATAGTAACAGTAGTAACCGTTAGATCATCAAACCCAGCGCCCTCTCTTACCCGCTGATCTGCAAGACCAAAGCCTCGCTTATCCGGAGTTGAAGGAACTCTCTCTTCCCCCGAGACAAAATGGTAAGAAACGTAAAATGAGCGACTGAGTACAGCCAAAGCCAAAGCCTTTTTTATCCTTCCAGGTTAGTTCGACACTTTGAACAGTGTGACGTTGATATCGCACACATCGTAATCATCGAAACTGATTCTAGCCTCTAAAAGCTAACACTTGTTCTTCTTACTTCGTATTCTCCATCCATCCCCACATCCCTCCTTTCTTCGATCTCATCGCCTCCACCTTTTTTATACTCGCTTCTTTCATCATTTCTTGTATAGATCAGAAGAGACCCATTTGAGCTCAGGTCGAGACCCCGAGTAAGGTTCAAGCGTTTGGTTAGTTCCAATGGCCTCCTTTACTGTTCCCTGCCCGAAATGTGTTTCTCCTCTCCGCTTAGGATTGAACTCCCAGAATCTGCAGCGGCCGAGGCAGTCCAGCTTGAAGCCATGCCAATCCTTGCCAGCTTCGTTCTCTGATCCAGCGTTGTTTGGCAGTCGGGTATCTGATTTTATTCAATTTCAAATTTTAATTATGAATCTGGTTTAAAATGAACGACTCATTGTCGATTTGTTCGGATTTTGGCTAATGTTGTCGCTATTGGGTATTGCTGTGTTATTGATTGTATATCTTCTGAATGTAGAAATAATAAGTAATAATATGATAAAGAAGCTAAGGGTTGGTTCATGCCTCTCCTTTTTATGGAAGACAGAAGGATGTAATTTTAGATATTGGTTTTTGGGCATGTGGGGGCCGTGAGGCTGAATTATTTCCATTTTTAGCATATCAACTTTTATCCTATTGTTGATGCTAACTTCAATTATTTTATACTTATCCAGTATTAGGCGAAATTCCGCGCTAGGGGGCCTATGGTTTCGATAAAAAGGAAGAGCTATTCTTTTGTTCCAAAGACTCATCTTTACTTGAAACTTTTTTCAAGATCTCACATATTATGGATGACTTATTCGGTGGTCCCCAGGCCGCAATTCTGCTATAGGAGATCAATGTTTAATTTAAAACTATATTTGCAGTAATATGCATTGCTTTGACGCCCTGCAGCTTGGCGTTGGATTTGAAACTTACTATAAGTTCTCTGCTTGTTATCACCAGTAAAAATTTTAGTCAGTAAAGTGCATGATATGGATTTTATTTAATGAGGGCATCTGTTAAAAATATGCATTCAGGTACCACACCAGTAGTTTTAGTGCTTAAATAATGTCCTATGTGCTTAAACTTGGAAAAATTCATGATTAATCCATGAAATGAATTTCAGTTTGATGATGGTTTTTTTATTGATTGAATACAAATAAACAGTCATTGACTTGGCAGCTTTATGTTATGGATTATTTTTATTCAGCTGTTCTATGTGATTGTCTCCTGCAGAGCCTTAACAGGAAGCAACTTCCTTCCTTAAAGCTTCAAGCACAACCGAATGAGGTCAGTTTTCCATGAAATGTATTTTAAATGAAAATCATCATGAGAGTTTGTTAATTCGCCTATTCAAAGAAATTCTTTTTAAGGCTGTACCCATATGTCTTACCCTGCTTTTCATTAGGCTACTGCTATCAAAGATTCTTCAAACTCTGCTCCCATGCCTAACATCGGATCTGACGTTGCATCATCGCAAGAAAAAGATGATGGGAAGCTCTCTGGTCCAAGCACTTCTGTGGATGAAGCTTCAGTTTCTGCATTCATGAGTCAAGTATCCAATCTTGTCAAGTAAGACTAGGCAACTGAAATTTGGATGTAATCTCATATTTTCCATATTTCCATGTTAGATATGTATTGTTTACCATACTCGGTGTTATAAATTTCCACGTGCACAGACTTGTCGATTCCAGAGATATTGTGGAGCTGCAACTTAAGCAATCAGACTATGAGCTTTTGATAAGGAAAAAGGAAGCTTTGCAGCCTCCACCAACCACAGCAGTAGCTCCAGCCCCTCCATCTCTACCCTATCCCCCATTTCCTTCTCCACCACCATCTCCTGCTCCTGCTCCTGCTCCTGCTCCTGCAAGCCCTCCAACTTCAAAAGCTTCACCTGCCTCACCGTCCCCAGGGAAAGCAAGCACCTCATCTCATCCGCCATTGAAAAGTCCAATGGCTGGAACCTTTTATCGAAGCCCAGGACCTGGTGAACCGCCATTTGTAAAGGTATGTATATTTTACTTATTTTCTGGTAATCTGTCAATTTACAAATGCTATTGATTATTTAACTATGTCATTATCAACTTAAGTATATAATTTTTACTACATAGAATAGTCTTGTTTAATTTCCTGCTGCTTCAGGTGGGAGACAAAGTGCAGAAAGGCCAGGTCTTATGCATTATTGAGGCTATGAAACTGATGAATGAAATTGAAGTACGTGTACTATCTTTTCTTTTGTTCTTGCATGTCTACATTGTTTTTCCCCCTGTATCATTGCTTTTCGAATTACCCCAGTTGACTCAGCATTAATGGTACTCCTATATACCAAAACCCTTAAACAAGGCCTATCAGTAGGGCACCCTTAAGAGCAGACTTAAAGAACCACTGATACACTTTCTGTTTGCTTCATTTCCATTTTCTTGAGGTGCTTTAATCTCTAGTCGTTGGCTACGATAAAAACCAAAATTCACATTCTTTGGTTCTCCGTTTTTCTCCCAGGCTGATCAATCAGGAACTATAGCTGAGGTACTCTTGGAAGATGGGAAACCAGTCAGTGTAGATACGGTACTCTCTTTCTCTCCCCTCACTCCAGAAAGAAAAAAAATTAATAGATAAGACTTGTATGAAGTTCTTTATGTGTTTGTTATTAAAAATCTTAATAAAATTGTAACATGTATGTATTTTATACAACTTATCATTATATTGTCGTCATTGGACAATCTGATAACGAACACTGAAAAAGCTGCATCCAAATTGTGTCCAAATCGAATAATTAAAATAGGTGGTTCATTTCTTTAACTTAATACTCGTGTTTCTTGCAGCCGCTTTTTGTAATTGCACCATGAGTAACAGGAGGGACCTTCTTCAAAGTTGTGGGCAACCCCCTTTGTTGGGTAAAATGAGGATTTTCTGAATTTTTTTATGAGTTCCTTTGGTGTGTAACTTAACTTACTTCTGTTAATCTCACTTTTAAAATCTGTGCTTCTTCATCCTTGCCTATTTATTCTAAGGTACCTTTTATTCATGAGGTCTTCAACTTGTTGAAATGAACTCCGGACAAAGTTGCAGTCTTAAGTAGTCTGGTGCTTTTGTAGTTTAGAATAATACTGTTGAATATTTTGCCATCTGCTGCTATGAGCATTTTTCTGAAGCTGAGAGATGGAATTGTACCCAAAATAATGTTTGTTTTATATTTGAGCATATCTTATTCTTGGAGTCTCCTCATTATTGATATCACAGCCCCAAAGTTATTATTTATTTAGTTATTTTACTATTTTAATCGAAATATATTTATGGTTTTTTTTCCCTGTTTGTTTTCCGAATTTTCACTCTCTAGACTTTTCCTTATTTGTGACTTGAATATTTAAGTGAACAATTAAAAAATATGTTAAAATTTGAAGGTCCATTGTGCCATTAAATTAAGGTTCATGTGGCTGGAAATTGGAATCATCAATCAATCATTGACTACTCTCTCTCTAGAGAATCTTTTCATACACGTTAATAAATTTTAAAGAAATCAGAAAAATTACGGAAGAACTCAGAAGATGTATTATATATGAAATTTATATTTCATAATTATATTGTGTACTTTTCCTTTTCTTTATGCATATTTGCGAAATGCACTTCCAAAATCAAATTTTCAAAGTAATTGATCCAAGTGTCTGGGTTAGCCCCCAAAAAGGCAGGTTTAAGGGTTAAACCTCAAAAGCACTGAAGCCTCAAAATGCTATCAATAGGTAAATTCAATGAAGTTTTTTCCTCTAATAATGAAATGCAAGCAAATGGAAGCGTTCTGCCGGCTTGTTATTATTTTTTTAAATTTCACAAATGAATATTTTTCATTTTTTTTGTTTTTATATTTTATAAAATATATTTATAACTTATACAAAATATTTGAATATTTTCATTAAAAATTATAAAATGACTTTAAAATATTTTTCTCTTCATGCTGGTACTATCTACTCCACCACAAACGTATCTATTGGTATAAGGATCAATCTAATTTTCAATTTTAAAATGCATTTAGAAGGAATAAAAATTGGAAAAAAATTAATTATAGTAAAGGACTAAATTAGGAAGACAATTCAATAGAATAAATTGGAAAACATCAATTCTCATAAAATATCAAACTGAAAAGGCCAAATTCATGATCTTAGGGGAGAGTTTCCCTTACTTATGATCTCGCTACATTTGTCCTTATTGAAGTTGCTCCTATGAAAAATTATTAAATTGCTGTTGTGAAATAAGTTGAAATTATCATCATCAAAAAAATAAATTGAAATTGTCATTTTTGGCCTGATTAATGCAAGAAAAAAATTCTGCATCAAGTAAATTTCGTTACACCTCTCAATCATAATGTAATTAATTGTATCAAAATTTATATTTATACGTAACAAATATATAAAACTGGGTCAAAACTAGTAAATGCATTATTTTAATACGTCAAAAAAATTAATTTGTATAAAATAATTAGCCATAATTAAAGAAAAAGACAAAAAATAGTTGTCTTCCTCTATTGATTGACTTAAATCGTATACCATATCAATCTCCTCAATCACTCACTGATTTATATATGAATCTCATTAATTACTGATACATGGAACATAATATTTGGCTTTAAAACTTAAATATCAATTAATTTTCTGTATTTTTATGAATTTAATTATTTCTGATTCAAGAATATGGAAGCATTAAATGACCACAAAGCCCTGTATATAAATACCACCTTTCATTTATCAAAATTCAGATACATATGTGAATTCACTTCTTCTTCCTCCTCCTCACATATTAATCTTCAAAAGCCATGGCTATGTCTGTGTCTTGTTTCTTCTTGTTTCAGTTTATGGCCATTGCTTTCTCTGCTGTGGCTTCTTTTGCTATTGATGGAAGCTGGCATGATGCTCATGCAACCTTCTATGGTGACATGTCGGGAGGCGAAACCATGCGTAAGTGTGTGTATTTATGTGTTCTTTGTGTTCAGAGTTCAATAAGTTATACTGTTCATGACTTATGAATAATGTAGATCGTATTAACTCTTAAATATTGTACTATCTTTTTTTTCTCGTCTCATATGCTAATCTCATGATAAAATAGTTCGTAAAAAATTCTCACGGTTTTTTTCTGAGGAAAAAAACTATTGTTTTTCCAGTGTTTTTCTGTAAATTACCCCCTCATATTTTTCCTCATCAAATAAAATGTTGTTTGGTCATTTATTTTATGAATTGGAATGAGTACCCTGTGCAGTTGTTCAACTTTGTTCTGAATTTGTGTGTATGTCAATTATAAATTTATACAAACATCGAAATAAAGAGTTAAAAAAGAAGAACAGTCTAGATTGCCAATGAGTCTCATTTTGAAATTAGTTTTCCATTTCCTAATCTTTTCAACGCTGATTCGTTTTTTATTTATTTATAAAATTGATCTTTTTATAAAAAAAAATTAATTTTCCATATATGTATACAAATTTTTTTTTTTTGGGGGGGAGCCCTAGACTCCCTAAAAAGACAAACTTCACTCCGAAAAACTGAAAAAGACAAAAAAAAAGAAAGAAAAAGTAAATAAATAAAAAATTATTGACTTTGAAACGCAAGCCATAATTATCTAGTCCACCTCAGATTTTGCTATTAAAGAGAGTAACCCTTACCTGTCAGGCTGTCATGTATATATAAATACTGTTTATTATAACCTCCAAAAAAAACAAAATCTTTCATATTTAAGAAAAATAGGATATTTATCACATAAGTTCTTTTCCAAAAATATATTAATTTAAATATGTGAAAATTAACAGCTCCCAATTCATTCTGTACGGTATTTAATTCCCCCTCAAATCAATAAATTAGCAATTAATTTTTTTCCCTTTTTTTTTTTAAAAAAGAACGTCCTCCCCCATTTATATATATAGAAACATAACTTTTCTCAGTATTGTTCCAATTTTATCAATGTCTCCGAAGAGATAAAATACTGAATATTTATGATATTATTATTATTATTAAAGTGGTGTGAATATTGTTATTTCCTTCCCATATGCAGAAGGAGCTTGTGGTTATGGAGACCTCTTCAAGCAAGGCTATGGCCTGGAAACGGCAGCCCTAAGCACAGCTCTCTTCAACAATGGCCTCACCTGCGGCGCCTGCTTCGAACTCGAGTGCGTCAACGACCCGCAATGGTGCATCCCCGGCGCCGGCACCATCAAAATTACGGCCACCAACTTCTGTCCGCCCAACCACACTCCTCCGGACGTCAATCACTGGTGCAACCCTCCCCAGCAACACTTCGACCTCTCCATGACCATGTTCACCAGGCTCGCTCCCTACAAGGCCGGCATCATCCCGGTTCGCTACCGCCGTGTCGCCTGCGCCAAATTCGGCGGCGTCAAGTTCGAGGTCAAGGGCAACCCTTACTGGATAACAACGCTGTTTTTCAATGTGGCGAACGCCGGCGACATCACAGACGCGAAGATAAGGGGCGGCAAAGGCGGCGGCGGGTGGATTCAGATGTCGAGGAATTGGGGTCAGGTTTGGCAGACAGGGACGAACCTGATGGGACAGAGTTTGTCGTTTAAGGTTACTACGAGTGATGGGAAGATGTTGGAGTTTGATAATGTTGTGCCATCGAATTGGCAATTTGGTCAGACTTTTTGAGGGAAATCAGAACTTTTAATTTAATCAGATATTGCTAATTTATAATTTAGACTAATTTTGCAGTTGAAATTAACAAATGTTTTTTGAAATGACTTTCTAGCCTTAATTAGCTTCGATTTAATAAGATACATGAGGATCCTATATTTATGATTGATGTTGCATTTCTTATTTTCTGTTTGATTTTTTTTTAACTAAACATAGGTTCCTCCTATTACAAACAATTCTATTTGAGGTGATGTCGGACACTAAATAATTCAATCTGAACTGTTTTAACAACATCAGTAAATCGAGTAATTGATCCTCCGTTCCATCTAGGAAAAATTTTTAGACAATCCATCTAGTCAAAGTTTTGAACCAATCAGTCAAATCAAAATTTTTTTTTTTTAAGTCTCCATGAAACAATATCATTTTGAATTAAAAAAGTAATAGCAATCCGCCCGTAATTGTGCTTTTGTAATTATTTTGTCAGATTATGTATACTAAATGTTTCATTCACTCATAAATTGAGTGTAGTATTAAAACTCAATCTGAGACGTTTTGAGAGATCAATAAATTGAGTAATTGATCTTCTGATCGATCTAGTCAAAAGTTTTGGACGAATCAATCAGACCAAATTATATTAATTCATAAAACAATATCATTTTTAGAAGATGTTTAAATGAAAACTGAATCATAGTTTTTAAAAGTACTTTACGAATACGAAATAAATATGTGGAGAAGTTTATCTCGTTTAACAGAAAAGTCCTTTTCAAAAGTACTTTTTCGTATTACCAAATATCTCCTCAATTAAAAAAGTAATAGCAATCCATCATAATTGTGCTTTTGTAATTATTTTGTTAGATTATATATGGGTTATACAAAATGCTTCGTTTACTCATAAATTGATACCTTTTTTATTTAAATATGATTGGTTTTATGGTTATATATAAATATTTTTTAAAATCATTTAATTAAATATATTATTTTAATTACAGAGTTCCTTCTAATTTAATTATACATCCTAATTTAATTATAAGTAGTCCCTATTCAGCGGCTGAAGCGAAAGATATGTTTTGGACTGATACAGGTTAATAACATGGGTGCGTTGGATGCGTCAGTGTGAGGGGGAGAGAGTACTGACGTGAGACTTGTTTGACAGAATAATATATGCCACATACACATACGCACACTAAAAAAGTGTTTGAATAAAGTAAATATGTAAAAGAATTTTTTTCATTTTACAAAAAAAGTGCTTCTGAAATTATAGTTTGGAAGTTGCTAACACCTCCTAAATCATGAACTATTGAAGGACACATATATGTTTATGGGGGAATTGTTATAATTATAGTATTACCTTGTTCTTATTTGTAAAACTTCATTTCTAGTATAGATAAGACCGGATGTATATAATAATGATTCATTATAGCTTTTGCTCCAAAAATGATTCATTAATTACAGTTATGATGCTTTTTTTTCCCTCCGACCTGGATACAGCAATGATTCATTGAATACGTACGTTTTGTGTTGTTTCAGAGCTGTCACGGTAAATGAACCACAGGATTCTTTCTCAGATGAATTTGGATAGTTGGCCCAAATATTTTTTAAAAAAGGAAAAACCAGAGAGACATGACAGCTTTCTTATGTGCTGTGTGAAATTCTCAGGACGTCTTCTCTCTCTTTTTTTTTCCCGTTTTTTTTTTACACGTAACCAAAAACACTTTCAAACATGTTTCTATTTTTGCCCAAGCAATTCTCCTCTCTCTCTCTCTCTCTCTCTCCCCCCCCCCCTCTTCTTTTTAATGCAATGAGCCAAAAATAAGACACACAGGCCAGATCAATCAGCAATGTCAATATCAATATTAATATCCCAAGTCATAAATATTTTGACTTCATTCCTTGTACAAAAGAAAATATATGATCTATTAACACTACTGAAAGAAGCACCAAACCAAAGGAAGAAATACAACTCTCAATATTACAAGGCTGTAAACATGTTTCAATTTAACTCATTTTTTCCTTTCCCAAGGTATTATTAAAAATGGAAATGCTGAAGATAGAGAAGCAGGAGATAGAACGTACAACAATGGTTAAGGAAAGTAACACGCTTGCTATACAAGAACTTAATCTGTAGTATTCACAATGTCTACACTTGGTATTAATTCTTCCTTTCGCTTTTTTCATCTGGTGGTGGCTTCAGCCGCAACACAAGCCTCTTGAAAAAGGATTATGGCGTTTCATCAAATTCCATCTCCTATACATAACCAAGAATACAAATCAACCATCATTCCATGAATGGGTTTTCACTTTCCAGGGCAATATTCAGCTCATCAATCAGAAATTCACTTTGTTAGCAGCCATAAAGAATATCAGACACTAGACACCTAAGGCTATTTCAGTTTGAGTGATAAGAGTAGAATGGGATGGGGGTATATGCAAGTCTAAGATTCAATCCCTCCTGATGTAACAACTCTCTCTCTCTCTCTCTCATTCACGCACACACACACACAGAGACACACACAGAGTCAGATTTTTTGCTCTCATAACACTTGCTCAAAAATCAAAGTCACTTGTATGCATAAATGCGATAAATTATCCCAGTTTCTTACTTCCGCCTCTTGTTATCAAAATATTTAATGATATAAGTGATTGCACGTCTAGGAAGCATTGACACTTCAAAAAAAATAAATGAACTTCCTATATTATACATCAATCAATGTCAATAGAAAACATAAGATCTATAGCAAATAACACTATTAAAATCTTCTGAATGATGTGACTCATTTCTTAAACTCCTCACAATATCTGATGACTCGTCTAATTTGTGCGAAACGCGACATCTATCAAATCAAAAGCTGGACATTTCACACATAGTTTGTGCCACAATGTCCATGTTTCAAAGTGTTTGTCCATATGTTGTAGAACCCGCTGTAAGAACTTAATATGCACTAGTATAGGGAAGGTGGGTGGAAGTCAATCAAAGTGAAGAACTTGCAACCTCAACTCATGCAACAAACCTTCTCATTACACCATGACGTATAAATTAGTATTCAAACCCAGTTTCCTATGCAAAATTTTTACTATAAATTGAGGAACGGAAATGGAATTCTAATATCATGCAAGTTAGGTTTGCAACTATGCATTAGGGGAGCATTTGGGTGCATAAAATAAAAAAATCAATATTTTAAGAATATATTTTTTGGATTACATATGGATAAGCTAAAGCTAGAAGCAAATAGCACCCACAACTTCGCACCAACAGAGGTGAGTGTTTCGTGCCACTAGGTCATATGGCCAATGGCATCTTCTACATACTAAGCTAAAAATATTATATATTTTATGTACTTTTAAAAATTTAAATCAAGTCCTCGAGCAAAATTAAGCTTCCGTATCCGGTTCTACAGTAGAAACAGGAAAAGGGGTAGAAACAGGAAAAGAAAGCAAGACAAGGGCTGGTGTTTTAGAGAGGCTAGATCCCATTCCCTCCCACAATTATTGCCGAATTTTCTGCCTACCCACTCTCTCTCTCTCTAAGCCCCCCATTTATAACCTCTAGATCCAACTGCTGTATAATGAGGCTACAATGCCCAAAATTAATCACAATGCTATAATGCCAAAAGCATAGAGCTTACATATTAAACATTGCTTCAAGCTTGGTGGCGTTACCACTGAGTCCTCCAACTTTCCAATATTAATATTTTATGGCACATTGGTATTGTTTGCAAGATCATTTTATAGGAATAAATATTAATATCAGTTAAAATTAAATATATTACTCAAAACAAACGACATGAACCATAAATAGACAAATAAGATGTTTATTTAAATTATCCGCACCATACCTCCTGCCAAATATAGTGTCTAGAGGCACACCAGATGCTCCTCATCCAAAGGGTGCCAGATTTTAATTCCAATAAGATAATCTTATAAAAGAACAAATATATTCAGAAATTTTACAGGGGAAAATTGCATTACCCAATGGCAGTTCACCAGAATTTGAAGTTCTCTGACACATAAAGAACTGGGTGACACTTTCAAGATGAAAAGTGCAACATATGAATACAATTCTTTTTACAATGTAGCATTTGACAACTTTTTATCCACATTAAATTGTTTAAAATCTGACATAGTTCCTCAAACAGCCTTCACATGTCCCACACCCACCCTTATAGATCATTCACCAAGCCTTTTACAAGCTCACACAGCGCCGTCAACCCAAAACTCTTAAAAACATTCTATTTCAGAACCAGCTCTTGCTTGACTTTGGGTTGGGGGGGGGGTTTCTAAAGCCCAATAACCTTATCATTGGAGGGATAAAAATTTAATTCAATTATTTAAATAATCAATCAAGTGGTTAGAACTTTCCATGTGGCGGTTTTTTTTTTTTTTTTTTGGGGTTTTGTTTTTGAATGAAGCCATATGGAATTTCATGATGGCCTAGCACATTCAAACATGCCACCACAGAGAACATGCCGAATTTATACTCAAAGGCACAGAGGTACAAGCCAGTAGAAAAGATCTTAGGTCATAGAAATTTCCAAATGGACTTTGAGTCTATCATTGATTGATTTATCGGGCTTAATCGAATTCCCCATGAACATTTTATCTGGATGATAGAACCAACAAACTCAAGGATCACTAGTAGGCTCAGCGTTCAATCTACAGGTTTCCATAGTTACACCAGCATCAAATTTAGAGTTGAAAGATCAACAGATGGAGCCTAAGAATGATAAACTGGTGGCCAGGCTTTGCATGTATGCAGTGTAGATATTGTAGACAGCGGCAAATCAAATGGATAGGTTAAGACTTGGGAAACAGCACAAAAAGTTATGCAGCTTATACAAGTAATAAAGCAAGAGGAAAAGGTTAGGAGCTGGGACTATTATATAACTAAAACAATAAGGCAGGTAAATCATAGATATAAGTGAGGATTGAATAAAACCTTAGCTCATAGGCAAGCTAAAATCCAGTCTTAATTGTTTAAATTTAACCGCCAACACTCAATTCTTCAAAATGGTTCACACGCAGTTTCTCTTTTTAACCAAGTTGTTTATTTTACATTCAAAATCTTCCTGCTAGAACTTTAATAGAACTATATTTTAACTACCTATCCATAAGAAACAAGGGCTAAAACCAGGAAACTGCTCACTAATCAAACTCTGCCACTCAACGAACACCACATAATGATAATATGCCTAATATGACTCTGAAAATAGAAATTACATGGAAGTACTTAATTAAGAACCCAGCCCCTACATGCCCACTTAAAACTCAAATACTTTCAAAGTCTGCATCTTCATGTTCAGAAGGAGGATTCTCGTATATAGCAGGAAAAGATGTCAAAGCATACAAGCCTAGAAATTCACGTTTGTTTCAAAAGTAGCTGACTGTAAAGATTTATCATATAACTGTTCTTGCACCAACGAAATTCTGATAGTGAAGTGAAATGGAGGAAATAATTTGTGACAGACTAATTCCACATGCTTAAGTGCAAAAACCTGCATTTTCATTGGGAAAAAAATGGGGAAATCGCCAAACTTTATGATTCCTATAAATTCAAAATATATTCACAAGTGAATCAGCACGTAAAACTGTTGATAAATTACTAGTGGCAATTAAAAAGAAGGGGAATAAGTATATTAGGAGAAAAGGCAAATATAAGTCAAAATTGATCATGTAAACTCCTAAATGTACACTAATGAATTGAAAACAACCAACAGTTCCCTTTCATATTCATGCCTAGCTTTCAAGAGACCACAGGCACTTAAGAAACAAAATTATAAATTACTTAATTGCTGCACATCTAATTAGCCTAGTTTATGGTTTTCTTTCTTTGTTTTTTTGTTTTATAAATTTTAGGTAGGGATGCAATCTCAACCCAAGTCAAAGGCAGGGTGCTTGATCCAACTGCGCCATTCTTTTATTTCTAAAGAAGGGTGCCTTATCTTCCTCTTCTCTAGGTTCTCCCACAACAGGACCTCTTTTTATGTAAAACATATTTATTAAGATAATTAAGCATGCAGTTTAAGAGTCTTTATTCATTCTATGCTTGTCACCGGTGAAATGCCAATCATTACAGCAAGAAAAAATTCACAAACCAAAGGAGGAAAAGTACCTTCCCACACACTGGACAGTTTTCACTTCTCTCCATCCACTCATAGATGCAACCAAGATGAAAATGGTGAGAGCATTTTGTCATTATCTTTGGATTCTCTTGGGTATATTCTGCAAGCAAAAGAAGTATTGTAAAACCATCAGAATCTTCAGATCCCACTTTATTAATAAAGAATTTGCCAGCATCAACAACTTCATTGAAACAACGATCATATGCCATGAAGTTGAATACTAATTTCAAACCCTAGCAGGTTCCTGAGTTTCTTAAGCAAAGGTTAGATTCTAAGTCAATGCTTCTTCAGTAGTAAAATGTTACTCCTTTCCTTCTTTAAAATCAACTAATGGAAGACCAAAACAAAACCATTGAGAGAATCATATTTCATTTTCTGAAAACGATATGCATACTTTACTGATTGAAACATCTAATGTTTTAAAACTTTTACGAATTGAGAATAAATTAAATTACGTGACAGAGGTTAGAGTCACAAGAATGAATGAGTGTTCCATACATCGTCCAACACAAGTATAAGAAAAAACCAAGTCAAAGGCCGGACATTCAGTTTTCTCACTCCATATCAAGACATGCACCAAAACATCCGATGCTATCATCATGAAGCTTCAAACAAAAATTCCAGATTTAATATCTCTACCTTCAAGACATGTTGGACAAACATCTTCATCTTCTAATGGTGCATAGACCGCCGCAGCTCCAGGTGTATATTTTGCTGATGAAAGTCTTAGTGAGGACTTAGAAAGGTATTCCTTTGATCCATTTTCACAGGCACATTCATTCCATTTGTCTCCCATACTCAATGAGTCTGAATCCACATCTAGATCACTTCTTAGAGGTTGTGATTCCTCATTTGAATGACTTGAACCCTTCTCACGTCTTGAAACTAGTCCATCACGTTGTGAGAGAAAATACCTAGAGTCTGCATCATATGGCAAAGGCCGGGGAGGAGCACGGTACATCCCTGATAATGAACTATCCAGGGATGCCGTAGAAGTCATAGATGCTGCCCCCTGGACGGATGAAGAAATGGAATGCACTTCACGCCTACGAAATATTGTATTATACTGAAATCGGAAGTATGGAAAAATGTTATATTTATATTGTAGATATGTAGCTCTCATCAATGAAAAATACCTCACCATGAAAGATACATCTACCAGTTAGGATTAAGATATCTTTTTAAAAAAGAAAGTGAACGATAATTAATGTCAGTGACCAATGATACTGCAGATTTGCCACTAAAACGCTCTCAAAAAACAGAGAAAATTAATCAAAAAGCAATAAACATATTATCTCTGTCTCTCACAGACTTGATTTGTGACTTTAATAGGACAACCTGAAAAGCATTAGAACCTCATATAGCAAACGCATCCCTCCTACAATAGGCTTACAGGCAACTTTAATTAAAGGCGCACTTCAACAACAAATCTTCTTCATTAGCATACATGCTTATATGTGGCAAATAGAAAGCCATGATGTGTACGCATATTTTTATGACTTGAGGAGTGACAGAATGCGAGCAATCTACCTGCAAGTGCAATGGCCTTTCCTTGTTATAGACAAATGAACAAAAAGATGTACATGTGCACCCATGCTTACAACAACCAGAGGCATGATCCTAGAGAAAATATGACAGACAGGCATTCTACTCCATAGAGATACAGGAAAAAATGGTGCATGATCAAGTCATTAGGGAAGGCATCAGATTCAAATTCTGAAACATGAGACAGAAGGGAGAAAGAGGCTAGGATTAAAAGACATACCACATTCAAAAAGTTATGTATGAAGCAACTGAAGCACATGCAATTTCTATATACAGAGCTATTTGGATTTACATAATCTTCAAGATTCTCAACACTTAAACAACCACAAACAGAACCCATTGTGCCAGCTTCTGCGTCTTCCTTAAAATTTTCCCACTCCTCAACTAATCAACAAAAATAGTTGGTGCTACATGTAGGAGATGAGAAAAAGAGATGGCCTCCAACAGCAACAAGATTTGATAAATAAGGAGAGGGGATTCTAAATTTCCAGAAGCTTCACCGCGTCCGCAAACCAGGACCCTCCCTCTTCCATTTCAGATGCCCGCGTAATATGGATTAGCAGCCTGTTTTATCTCTCTCACCTGCAAAAGAAGCCACAATTGCATACAAATGCTCAGTGAAACAGACGGGAAAAGCTATAACGGCTGTCATTCAGAGCTAAGATTTACTTTTAAAGGACCAAAGACTGGTATCGAGCAATGCAGGTTTTGATCGAGGGATAACGCAACATATACTTCGCTAGAAGATTGGGGGTGTGATGTTAGTCGAGGATACAGCTAAAAAATTATAAATTGAAAGAAGACAATAAGATATTAAAAAGAACAAGAAGAAGAAATAGAGAATAAATGCTCTAAGATTACCCAGAAGTTGTGGAGTCTTTTACCACAACCGACAAATCAATTACACAGTTTCCTTCAAATTTTGGAAAAACTGATTCTTTACTTCACTGATGAACAGTGACGATGCATCAACTAACAGTAAAAATAATTGATTGTCCTTCTGATGGCTCATCACAACCGCTGATTCACACAATATGCAGACAGAAAATAAGCAGGCGAAGCATGATCATCCCATTCATGGAAAATTAAGGGAAAAAATTAAAGAAAAATCACATTCGATTTCCATCAAAGAAGAAAGATAGACCCAACCCAACGAAAAATCAAAACATCCATTCGTGTTATCACATTCAAAATCATCATCGCAAGCAAGAAATCCAACTGTGACACTGAGATATTTGAAAAAAGTACCTCAGTTAGAGAGGGAGAGGTTAGAGGTGGAGAGAGGAGAAAAAGATTCAATTTGATCTTCCGTGGATGCAACACAACAGAGTTACACAGAAAGACTTCGAAATCAAGTGAACTGAATTGAATTCACATCATTGGAATCTAAAAGAAATTAGACGCGTGTCGGTTTACAGATTATTGGGCCAGAACAGTAATAAATTCAGTGAAATCGAATCCCTCTCACCGTCTCTTCTGCTATTGCGGGGCTTTGGTTTGGTGAGTGAATGGATGAATCTAAGCCAATCTTCACATACAAAGAATCCTGAAAGCGAAAGCCAGAGCCACTGCCACTTGTATTAAATTCCAATGATGGCATAAGTTGCGGCACTGTGCGTATATACAGTACAAGCCCTATCTAACGTTATTTCTAAGTGCGTACGTTGGACAAATACGAGTCCTATTAGGCCATTAGGTGTAGGATTTCCATCACTGTGGAATACATGGTCGTCTGGTCTGGTAACCTGTCATCAATTTCCAGCTGCCGAGCAAGTCAACCAATATACTCTCTTTTTTTTCTTTTTCTTTTTCTTTTTTTTCTTTTTCTTTTTGCCCTTTTCGCCCAACATTTTTATTTCCCCTGTGAGTGACTCGCGCACCATTATAAGGATTCGACTCAGGACATCACACTCTTGAAAAAAAAAGAAAGGATTAAAAAAGGCTTAACGTTGAGCTAGTTGTGATGCCCCAACCCAATATATTTAGAGATAATGTACCAAAAACAAAAGTATAGTAGTATATAGGATAGGATGGGGGCAACCCCATCCCAATCCCATCTCGTATTTAAGAGAGGACACTTTTTTGTCTTGTGTTCTGTCTCATTTTGATAAAGTCTAATCCGAGACAAAATATAATGAGAATAGGATAAAGATGTACCTTTTTTGATCTTTTTTATTTGAAAACTAACTGTACATGGTTTTCTTAAACTCTAATTGGTATAAGAAAAATGGAGGAAACAGTGTCAAACCAAAATACCCAACAAGTATTAGCTCTTCTTAAAAAGGAGGTGATCCAGCCGCACCTTCCAGTACGGTTACCTTGTTACGACTTCACTCCAGTCACTAGCCCTGCCTTCGGCATCCCCCTCCTTGCGGTTAAGGTAACGACTTCGAGCATGGCCAGCTCCCATAGTGTATAGGAGGATACAAAAAAATTTTAATTTGCATGATTTAAAAAATTAAAAAAGTGGGACTAAAATCTTTTAACTAATTTTGTTTACTCTTTAGTTTTCATCAAAATTCTATAACATCACTTTTCACCAAAAGAAAAATTATAACCCTACTTTTCTAGTTTTTTTTAATGGAGCGATCATTAAAATTTTTCCTCTTGTCCAATTCTCTCGTACCAAGCATATCAAACATAGGGTTAGAGTTAATAAAATAGCTTTGATCCGATGGATATTCATGGTTCCCCAATTATCTCCCAAATTAGCTTCTATGGAGGGCGTTTGGTATCGTCATGATCTGGAACAAACAGAACTTCTTTGGATCCCTCTTTGCAAGCTCAGTTTCTACACCAAACTCAACTTTCCTTTGGCTTGCAAGTCATGGAAACACGTTGTTGCAGTAACGTCTTCCTCCACTAATGCTGAGACAAAGGAAGTTTATGGCTTTCATAAAAGGCTACGCGATCGTTAGTTTCGATTAATATTTAATGTCTGGTTTGTTTTATGTCTAGTGTGCTTGATTTCCTTATCTAGCTAGTCCGTTTGTTTCTCTATGCATGTTTATTATTCGTTTTCTGATGCTGTCGTATGAGGTTGTTGTTGGTTTTTCTAACTTTTGAGGTGTGTTTGGTACAAGCGATTTGGAGGAGAGGAGAGGGGAGGGGAGAGATTTTAATCATTTCCTCTTATTTGGCAACATACAAATTTTAGGAGAAGAGGGAAAAAATTTTAAAATTTTTCCTCCCCTCCCCTCCTCAACCTCACTTCTAAAATTGGAAGGATTTGGAGGGAAATGACAATATTTTATCATATTGTGACTGTTATACCCATATTTTGTCATATTGTGATCATTATGCCCTTATCTTAAATAAAATAAGGACAAAATTGTCCATGTTAAATATTTTTCCCTCCCCTCCCTTTATGGACCAAACAAAGTAATATTAAAACTCATCTTCTTTCCTCTTTTTTTTTTATAAATCCAAACAAGATAATATTAAAATCCTTTCACTCTTCTCTTCTTCCTTTCCCTCCGTTAAAATTCCTCCCTTCCCCTTTCTCTTATTGAGTCAAACAAACCCTTAGATCAAAACTTTGAATTCTGGATCTTCTTTCCAGTTGCGTTTGCAACATCCTTTGGGATATCCTATCCGAGCCCTTCACCCTGGTGGCTTATCTAGGTAGCCATCACCACACACTCTCTGCAGTGTAAAGTTAGTTCTTCGCCACCTACATCGTTTCCAGCAATGTTCTTTGCGTGCAGCGTCTGAAATGAAATGGTAAATTAGCTCATGTTTTTTTGTGCTTGTTTTCGTTTAGTTGTGGTTGTTGTCTTATGTTTTCATGAGTTTTATTGCCCCTTTGATTTACTTGTATAAATACTTATAAATACATATTATGTAGGTTGAGATAAAACTCTTCTTACACATAGTATTTTTTTTTTTTTTTTGTGCTTTGAGTGGGTTAGGCCTTGTCATATTTTTTGAGTCTCCTGACATATAGAAACCCAATTTATGTGTATAATTTTATTTAGTTAATTGTCTTTTGGAAAAGAGTAGTATATACACAAGTCCTTACTTTGCATTAATTTTTTAAGGCATTTAATTCCAAAAAGTCAATGGTTTAATTCAAAAGGACTTCTTCACCATGATCCTATGGGAACACGTCGCATCCTAGCGGGGAACAATCCAAAATGCACGTTTAAAACCGCATCACTCTTTCCGAGTGATTAAGCCATAAGTGACTTTTAATATTTTTATTAGAATAAAAACATTTTAAAACTGTTGGCAAAAAAAATAAAAATTAAAAGAATTAAGATGCGAAAGTAACCAATATACCCCTGTGCACAGATATTACAAAATTGTAGAATACTCACATTAAGTTTTTTATATCTATTATATTAAGTTCTCCGATCATATATAAAATTATGTGTCCTAATTTTCAAAATATTAGCATTTAATGATAAATTCACATGAAACAAAAACAACATATGATCATATGTAATTAGAAAGTAAAAGTAAACATGACCCTTCCAAAACAGAACAAAACTCCCATCTTGATTATGTGTATTTTTGCAATTAGGTGAAATATATGATTGCAAATATACTTCATAAGTACCTTTGCCCCTTAAGTCAAATTAAAAAATTGCACGCTTATTCTCTTTAATTTTTTGCTAACAATTTCACGATATTTCAATATTAAGTATATTTTCTTCTTATCTTAGCTTCCAATATCAATATTGAATAAACGTAAAACATTGTAACAAATCATTGGTATAGAACTTTATAAAAGGAATCACAAAGTCACTCATTCAAATGTTTGATACATGGGGACCTAGGGAGTACATCATGAAAGGGGGCAAGGATCCTTTTGGCCAGGTCTTTTTCTTTTGACCAAAAATTATGGATTTGAGACAGGAGCATTATGGGATTATACATTATTTAATTCCATTTCTATTAATCTACTATGCATATTAAACAAAATGCATAAAAGCATTATATTTATCTTTTTTTGACATGCCAAATGAGGAATTTTTGTTATAATTTTAATTCATAACTCCTTTCCTCTTCCTTTTTTTTTTTAAATGCTTTCCATCATACCAAATTCGGGAAGCTTTTGGAAAGACTCAAAAAAAAAAACTCTATATACTAATATAGAATCAAGAAAAAATGAATCTTTTAGTACTTTCACTTTTGACTCAATCTCATAACTCCTTTCACTTTTAGTATGATTTGATACGACTCAATTTGTAAACTTTTGACTCGCTCAAAACTCAATCCTTATCTTTTCCCACTTTTTTAGAAAATGATCCTTATTAGGCGTTGATGTGGCTGCCAAATCACCACCCCCATCATCTTCAATCTCCTTATATGTAAGAAAGCTCAACGATTTTTTACAGCAATTTAATTTGCTTGAAAAAACAACATGAAAATCACCATTTCGATCATCTTTGACCGCACAATTTGGCGATAACCTTCACCATATAGACATACACAGGAGGGAGGAGAGTTCATTGCTTGTTACTAAGGCCGAAGGAGAAACTAGGGACGTATAATTGAGCAGTAAGGGCTCATATTCCCTTAACTAAGGTTGGGGGTTCGATTTTCACTTGAGCATGGAAAGCATTAAATTCCCTGGCCAGCTATCCCATCCTTTGAGGTGCCTACAATTAGCGAATTCAGATTAGTCGGGGCCGTTGATATACCTAAAAGATGGTCTGTCTAGGATACTGGATGAGTCACCCAAAAAAAAAAAGGCCAAAGGAGAAGGAATATGTTAGACATTTGGTGGATTAGGTCCAAGCTCAAGAACTTTAGGGTCCAAAATATAATTAACTAAGAGTTTGGGGTTGTATTCATAAAATACCCTTTATGGGGTTGTATTCATAAAATACCCTTTATTCATCCAAATAATACGAGGGAACAATTATAGTACGTATTTTTTGAACAAATGGGTTCCCAAGATAAAGGAAAAGTGGATGCATTAATTGATGAACATAAGGCTCGATTAGTAGCAAAGGGATACATATAACAGGAAGGTATAAATTATGAGGATACTTTCTCACTTATTGTGTGTTTCAATTTAATAAGACTTATTTTGACAATAGTAAACAGTTTAAACTTAGAGAATTACATCAAATAGATTTAAAATAGCTTTCCTAAATGGTGATTTAGGTGAACAAATCTATATGCAACAATATAACATCCTAGGTTTTTAATCATGAGGTTTGGAGACTACTAAGCTTGAATTTGGATAATTAAGTTGGTTAATCTTTTAGTCTTGAGGTTAATTAAGACATGGAAATATAAAGGATGATGATTGAGACCAATATCTCTATACTTTTATGAGTATTCTTGGAAATTAGGTGTTTTCAAGAGTTAAATGATCTTGCTTTTGATTAATTCCTTTTGTATTGGAAAATAGACATCTCAAGCTTTTCAAAAATACCTAATTTGTAATTTTTGGAGATTTATGGAATTAGTTATGAATTTTCAGAGCCAAACCTTTTTATATGTGTTTTTTGCTACATGTTTGTTATAGCAAATAACACTGTATGTTGATCATGTCATTTTTTAGACGTTCACTGGATGTTCGCTGTGGCGATCAACATGGATTGTTCACATTTGCTAGTCCATGTTGTTCGCTAGACGTTCACTATAGGGAATGCATTGATATTTAATTTTATAAATCTGTTTTAGATGTGATTTTTAGAAGGTTTT